GTAATAATAAATTGTAATCATGGAGTATAAGTGTTTGAGCCATTTATATTATACTCTTGTTTGTCATTTTATCCTTGATATATATATATATATATATATATATATATATATATATATATATATATATATATATATATCTCCAAGTATAGGATTAGTGTATACGGAATAAATTCTAGTAACCAACAAATACTATTCTTAAAAGAATGCTCAATAGAGTAGAGCAGATATAATTATTTATTCGATAATTATAACATAAATATGTTATAAAATCACTACAAAAATAGCCATTTTGTTTGGAGTCTTATCAAGTGATGGTGTAATTCAACGCCATCACTTGATAAGACGCCAGAAGTGTTGAAACAAAATGGTTATGTTTCTAGTGAATTTATAACATATGTATGTAATAATTGTCGAATAAATAATTACTTATATATTACTGACCACTAATATTATCTATCTATCTATCTATCTATCTATAAAATGTGTTTTTGTGTATATATATATATATCGATAGATATATAGATAGATAGCTATATAGATAGATAGATATAGACATAGATATGTATATATATATATGTATATAATTTTTATATTATATATGCGTGCTACTTTTTGGAAAGCGCTCAATATCAGTGGTACAGTAACATATTTAGTTGGATTGATGTGAGTTTTGGCCCTGTGTTTCACGCAAATAGCAAAAACCAGGGTCACAAACTCGCATCATTCAATATATATATATATATATATATATATATATATATATATTATAAACCGCCTTAACGGGCGGCATTAAGCTAGCTTCTGCGGAGAGCTTTTGATGTGCGTAGGTCCTTACTTCCCATACCAACGTTAAGTTTTTATTTCATGCGCGATTTTTACTGGATTTGCGCAATTAATTTGAATTATTCTCAAATTTATTTCCAAGTTATAAAAATTGTTATCGCACAAAACATTTCGTCGCAAAAAAAGAATAAATAAAAAAATTAAAAAAATAAAAACTTGCGTAAAACAAAAATAACTGAAAACAATCTAGAATCCAGTAGTTTTATAAAATCCTCGGAGAATTTCAATAAGATATCTTTAATTATTTCTAAGATTCAACGGTTAAAATCTTAATCTAACAATTGGCCAATTTTTCTGCGACACGATTTGGACAATTTTACAAAATTTATATACACAGTGAGGGGCAACAATCTATCTACAGTGAGAAGTGTAAGAATTTACGTACACGGTGATGCAAAAAAAATTACCTAAACATTACGGCTCAAAAATTTGCATATGCAGTGATGCACAAATACAAACAGAAGCAGAATAATGTAGTACGGAAAAATCCATTTATTTAAAAGTTTATAATAATCGTTTCCAATATTTAAATAGATTATTTTTTTTTATACAGAAGGTCCTCGGGTTACGTCGGACCCGACATGCGTCATTTTGTGGTTACGGCACATCTGCATAATACAATAAAATCCTCGTGAAGCGCGATTTGACGAAGACGTCGTTGTTTCTCTAACGGGTGTACGCTATATTAGATTGTGCTGCATTCTCTATCTCTCGTTTGTGTTGCATTTTTTAAAACATTTTGCCCTTCATTATGGCTCCCAAGCATAAGGCAGACTCGTGGGTGCATATATAGCTGGGTTCCGACTTACGTTGAAAATCATGTTACGCCGCGCCGTACGAACGGATCTCCGTAATTCGAAGACCCCCATATATATATATAAATATATATAAGCTATTTCTCTCTGACGATTGATGATAGCTTAGGGTGAGAAAATCTGACTGACACCAAATCGGTCGGGTTTCGGTCCTGGCTTGAGGCATTCGAATGTCTAGTTGCACTGAGGAGCTGTGATACAGAGAAACAGTACTGTCTCTAAATATATGCGTGATATATATATATATATATATATATATATATATATATATATATATCATTAATATTAATTTTTAAAATAAAAGTTGAATTAGGGTGTCTTTTCGTCGTTTCATCTTCAAGCGAAATTTTAGGATTCCTAAAATTTCGCTGAAGATGAAAATGGGACTAAACAGCCCTCAATTCCACTTAATTTCAATAATTATTTGGATGGTTTCGCTCTCGTTTTTGAAACCTGAGAACTCTTATGTAGCGAAGGAATCATAAACAAAAAAAATATTATTATAATATTAGCTCTAAATCTGTATGGAGCACTGTCTTCTTAAAAATAAAAACAAAAATACTAAGGAACTCCGGATTATGCACCGGATTATGCACCAAACGTGTTCTTTTCTATTTTCTGCATACCTGCGCACTTATATATTATTTATTTATATATATATATATATATATATATATATATATATATATATATATATATATATATAGACACAGACATGTATATGTATATATAGATAGGTAATTATTATATCCTCCAAATTCTTACAATCTAAAAATATGTTCTGGCTTTTACATAATCTGCAAAATGGGTGATGAGAGATAAAATAATATCAAAGGGTACTTTGACGTGGTCGAATGTGTAGCAAGCTTGTCCCTATTACGATTGAATAGTGAGTTCGATTCTCACCAGGTGCCCTATACTTTCGGCCTTGTACTACATCTCAGCTACGCTTATAAAATCACCATAAAAAAGCATATCAATCAATCAAGATATATATATATATATATATATATATATATATATATATAGAGAGAGAGAGATAAGCATTAGGTTGGTGCAAAAATAATGACGTAATAATGTCGTTTTTGACGTATTTTTTAACGTCAAAAACGACATTATTACTTCATTATTTTTGCACTAAACTAATATATATATATATATATATATATATATATATATATGTAGAGAGAGAGAGAGAGAGAGAGAGAGAGAGAGAAGAGAAGTTATAATCGTTATGTCTTTGTCATAAATGTTTTGACAAAACATTTAATTTTCTTTACCGAAATGGTTTGCTGAATTTAATGCTCTACTCGTCATGTTCCTAACAAAAAAAAAAAAGATACTCTATACCAACGAAAATAAAAATAAATAAATAAATAAAATTAAATAAAAATAAAAATAAAGAATAAAAAAATAAAATAACAGAGAAAGTGTGTGAGAATGAGAGGGGAGAGGGAGAGAAATCATGAAGTCTTTTATTGTTACGATATTTCGCTTTATTTATTTATTTATTTATTTACCGAACTGGAGCTGGAGGTATGTAAACAATGAACCAATAGCAAATGAATCCATTTCCCTATTCTCCCCCCACCACCCCCGCCAGTTCCTTTTCGCGTTCTTCGCAGCACACGCCCGAATCTTACCTTATTTTGGGGGCCGGTGATTTTGTTTATTCTACGGAAGCGAAAAATGCCCGAAGCAAGACTGAAGTACTTGTACAGCAGAAGATTGAGAAGAATGATTATTATTTCGAACGTACACATTGGCAGGCGGATAATTTGTGTTCGATATGTGCTTCCATACACGTAAAATTAGGTAAATTAAATTGTTGTTGGTTCTTTTTATTTTTCTGTGATTCTTTATTTAGATAGAAAAATATGTCTTGAGTAATCGGAAGAGTTGTGAAATGTAAGATTACATTTATGAAAAGCTCAGTATTTTTTTAAAGGAATGAGAAAATAATATGTTTATCGATTAACAATTTATTTTCGGGAAGAATCTGGGACCGGTTTTTTCGGGTTTAAATTACCACAAAAATGATTAGTTTATGTTCTTTCTTTGTCTCCATATGTCGTTATTGCATCGTGATCATATTTATATGTATATATTGAGAGTGCAGTCTTATATATATATATATATATATATATATATATATATATATATATATATAAATTAAATTGAATATATTGAATTTATATGTATATATTGAGATGTAATGTTATATATATATATATATATATATATATATATATATATATATATGAATATATTGAATTTATATGTATATATTGAGAGTGCAGTGTTATATATATATATATATATATTTATATATATACTAGCAGTAGAGACGGCGTTGCCCGGGGATGTAACAGTAAGAGAGAGATCAAGTATCGACCATCATAAAGACTGAAAAATAAAATTGACAAAGATTATTGTTTAAGGTTGACAGACACGCATGTCTTAATTATTTTTTTTTTTTTACGAATTGGTCAAACCCAAACTCAAACAAAAACATTGTTTTCAATCGTTATGAGTCTATCGATTGAATAGAATTTTATTATAAACAATTGTCTTGTAAATGGAATTTTTAAAGCATTCTGAATGTATAAATAAAGAAAAAAGTGTGCAAGACAATAAGAAACACTACCTGTCAAAAAAAAGTGAAGTTTTGTTGAAATCGTTTGAAAAATGTAGGAAATTCGATCCCATATATAAACGAACACACACAAACACACAAACAACCTGGGTTTTATAATAAGTATAACTCGATATGAGTTGTCCCCCTTTCATTCTCACGATGCCTCTTAACCATGTTTTCAAATTGATTTCATGCAAAAACAATTGTGTTTTTCCAATTTGGGGCGCTGTCAGAACCACCGCAAGGTAATTTTTTGCAGTCCTGTGAAGTTTTGTTGAAATCGGTTGAAAAATCTAGGAAATCCGATCCAATATATAAACGTACAGACAGACACACACACACAACCTGGGTTTTATAATAAGTATGATACATATTGTGAATATATTGAATTTATATGTATATATTGAGAGTGCCGTGTTATATATATATATATATATATATATATATATATATATTGTAAATATATTAAGATAGATCGATAGATAGATGTAGATCGATATGAACAGAATGAGATGTGTATGTGTGTGTGTGAACATGTACATCGAAATATATACTAGGTATCTAATATGTTTATATCAGCACATAGCTGATATATATATGTGTGTGTCTGGTTGTGTGTATTTTGAACAATCTACATCTAAGATGAAGATATATACTAGGTTTTGAAAAGTCCCTGATATTTGCTCTTTTTGTCAGAAACTGGA